ATATAACATCCCACAATATTTCTCTAGTCAAATCAAATATAATTAAATCCCAAAGTCAAAACTTCAGCTTTCTCCTTTTCCTGAAATCTAACAGTGATCTCTAAGCTGCAAGAAATATAGTTAAATTGTTGTCTCTAACCAAAACAATTTTGCCATCTCAACTAGCTCCAATCCCTTAAAAGATTACTTCAGTGCCCCAATCAAATCTTTCCCCAACTGGCATCCATATACATTAGGACCATAAATCCCTGAATTTACAGTATATGAATTACAGAATGTGAAAATGTAACATTTCCCCCAAAATACAACCCAAGATTGGAGAACTGCCATCTTGTCTCAGCACTTAGAAATTTTATGCATGAAATCTCAGTTTGCTGGAATGTTTCCATGTCTAATTACAGTTCTGACTTGTTTTCATTTCCATTTCTTTCTTTTTTTATTAACTGCTTTTCTCTTTTTAGGATTTCCTACCTTAAAGTATAAATTAATATCTAAGATGGAGAAAGAGGAAAAAATACAAAATTCAGATTCCCAAAGCACTGGAGAAGGGACAGTGAGAAATGAGACCAGCTCAGGTAAACAAGTGGATAGAGAAAAATGTTTTTAAATTATAACTGTGTGGATCATTCTGAGTTCATCTTCTGAAGGATAATTGGCCTGTCCATCATTGATTTCCCAGGATTTGAAGGAATGGTGTGTTTTTTTCTTGCATCCTTCCTCAAATACAAAATGATACAGGATAAGTCTTGATGAGATAGGTTTCGCACTTCTCTAACTTGTTGCTTTGTAGATATATTGAAATCTACACGGCCATCCGGATGAGTTCTTATAAAGTGATGATGGAATGAGTTTAAAATTTAGCTAAGATGGCAGATGACTTCGTTATCCTGGGAGTTTTGTTTTCAGTGCCTTGGAGTCGGTGTCGATTGCCTGTAGTTTTCTCAGCAGGGTTTTTCACAAGTGGTTTGCCCTCACTTCTTCTTTCCTAGGGCTGAAAGAGAATGAGGGACCCAAAGTCATCCAGCTGGCTTTGTGCCTAACACAGAACTAGAAATTATGGTTTTCCAGTTTCTAGGCCGGTACTGTAACCACTGCATCAAGCTGGCTCTCCCAGTATAATAACTGTGAAATAAAATATTCCATAATCTGTAGAGATTCTCAGTCATCCAGGTCATGGTTGTCCCAAAGGTGCTTTTTCAGGAAGGCAACTGTACTTTCTTGTTTTTTTCTTTTGAAGATCAGTCCACCTAACTGAAAAACTCTCCAGAAATCAACTAGCCCTTCCACCAGTCCTTTTAAGACTCCCCCATACCAACCAAGAACTTTGTGGTTCAGCCAACAGAAAACAAGTGGCATTCTTTGCTTTTCTGAAATCACCTCAAGTAGCCTGATGATATTTTGGGGGAAGGTCACCTTCTATCGCTTACAAAGACAGTTTATGTTTCTTGATTTATTCTATCCAATGAACAATTTTGGAATCTGAAAGGTGCTTCTTTTTAGGAGGACTTTCTTGTTTTTTATCTTTTGAAGGCATTTCGCTTCTCAGCCAGGAAGCTTCTTCAGCTCTGACAGGATTCAGCTCTGACAATTTGGGATGAACACTCTTTTGAATGGTGTGAGAGTAGGAATGGAGTTCCCAAAAAATTGCAGACTACAGGAACCAGGAACACTACTCAGGTGACCCTGTGGACACAGATAAACCTCCAAGTGCTTCAACGACCCTCTAAAAGCATGCAAATGACCAGCTGTCTGCAAGAAATATAAATCCTTCCATTCCCCACCGTCCAGTCAGAGCTGAAGAAGCTTCTTGCATGAGAAGCAAAATGCCTTCAAAAGAAAAAAAACAAGAAAGTCCTCCTAAAAAGAAGCACCTTTCAGATTCCAAAATTGTTCATTGGATAGAATAAATCAAGAAACATAAACTGTCTTTGTAAGCGATAGAAGGTGACCTTCCCCCAAAATATCATCAGGCTACTTGAGGTGATTTCAGAAAAGCAAAGAATGCCACTTGTTTTCTGTTGGCTGAACCACAAAGTTCTTGGTTGGTATGGGGGAGTCTTAAAAGGACTGGTGGAAGGGCTAGTTGATTTCTGGAGAGTTTTTCAGTTAGGTGGACTGATCTTTGTCTTCTAAACATTTTTTCCTCCTGCTTCTCTTCTGGCTTTCAGAAGTTACTGTTGCTGGTGACAAAGTGGCCTCTGCAGCCGTCACCGTGGCCACCGCTGCCGTAGCTGCTGTCAAGACTGTTGTCGGGATCCAGTCACAACTTTTCAGCCGTTTGGCCACCCGCCGCACGTTTCTGCCCAGCCACCGTCGTGACCTCCTGGAGCTTGAGCAGATGGTGGAAAACGCAGCCGCCGTGCGCCTCCGAGCAGTGGTGGAAACCAGCATTGATTCTTTGCGCGCCATGATGTGTTCATGCCTCTTCCAGTCCCCGGCGGTTCTTGCTGGACTGATAGACGAACTCTACATCATGGAGCGGGCCTTCTGGGTGCAGCCGGGCCGCTCCGAGTGGTGGGAAAAGGTGGTGCTGCCCCATTGGGATGACCACCTTTGGCAGGAGAACTTCCGGATGAGTCGGCAGACTTTCATGGAGCTGTGTGACGGATTGAGGCCAGTTCTGGAGCATCAGACAACCAACATGCGGGCTCCCATTACTGTTGAGAAGCAGCTGGCCATAGCTATATGGAAGCTGGCCACCCCAGATAGCTACCGCTCGGTAGCAGAGTGCTTTGGCGTTGGTCGCTCCACTGTCTCCAGGATAGTCATGGAAGTTTGCCAAGCTCTTTATGATGTCTATCACCATGTGGTTCTTCTGACCAGGCCCCAGGAGGTGATAAAAGGCTTTTCGGCCAAAGGTTTCCCTCATTGCATTGGGGTGATCGATGCAACCCACATCCCTATCATTGCTCCTGCCCACCGAGCCATGGAATATATCAACAGCCGAGGGTATTACTCGATGGTTCTGCAGGCCCTGGTGGATCACGAAGGCAAATTCATTGACGTGTATGCTGGGCGATCGGGAAAAGTTCATGATGCCAGGATCTTTCGCAGCTCCCCCATCTTCCGGGCCATGAACCAAGGCACTTTCGGTCCTAGCGCTACGATGGACGTAGAGGGAGAGCAAGTGAAGCCGGTCATCCTTGGAGACCTTGCTTACCCTCTTCTGCCATGGCTAATGGCTCCTTACAGTGGCCAGTTGGACTCCCGAAAACAGCTCTTCAACAGCACGCTTGGCCGCTGCCGGACAGTGGCGGACTATGCCTTTCAGCGGCTCAGGGGCCGCTGGCGGTGCCTCCTCTCCCGCCTCGATGTGCGAGAACGCTACGCCCCGCGGGTCATTGTAGCCTGCTGCATTTTGCACAACATCTGTGAGAGCAAAGGGGAACCTCTGCAGGAAGGGTGGGAAGAGGTGGTGAGGTCCGTGTCAAGATCTTACCAGCAGCCAGAAAGGCAGCTGATGTACATGTCCAACCCTCATGCCCGGGAGATCAGGGATCTTTTTAGCACATACTTGGAAAGGAGATATCAGGACAAGTAGCGTGGAATTCATGCTTATTTATCCTCCTTTCCCTCCCCTCCCCACCCCACCCAAAAAACCTCCCCTTGGAACAGAAGTTGGGGAAAGGAAAGCTGGCTTTTCTCTGCCTCTTTTCCGAATACAAATAATCCTTGACTTACAGCCATTCATTTAGCAACCATTCAAAGTTATAATGGCACTGAAAAAAGTGGATGGCAACTGGTCCTTGCACTTAACAGTCGCAAGATCCCCACGTGATCAAAATTTGGGTGCTTGGCAACTACTGGAGGCTAAAACATATAAAGAACGGTTGCAGGAACTGGGTATGTCTAGTTTAATGAAAAGAAGGAGCAGTCTTCCAATATCTCAGGGGCTGCCACAAAGAAGAGGGCGTCAAGCTATTCTCCAAAGCACTTGAAGGCAGGACAAGAAGGAATGGATGGAAACTAATCAAGGAGAGAAGCTACCTAGAACTAAGAAATTTCCTGACAAAACAGTCAGTGGAACAATTTGCCTCCAGAAGTTGTGAATGCTCCAACACTGGAATTTTTTAAGAAGAGATTGGACAACCTTTTGTCTGAAATGCTGTAGGGCTGCGATGGCGAACCTCTTGGCACACTTGCCACAGGTGGCACTCAGAGCCATTTGTGCTGGCATGCAAGCTGCAGGCAATCTTACCTCACTGCACATGTGCATGCCTCACAGCTGATTTTTGGCCGGTTTGAGGCCTTTTTCGGCCTCCCAAAGGCTTGAGGAAGGCTTCTGCAGGCTTCTACAAGTTTCGTAGGCCGAAATCTAGCCCCGTTTCATCACTTCCGGTATTTTCGGAAAAACAGGAAATGATGAAACGGGGCTAGATTTCGGCCTACAAAGCTTGTAGAAGCCTGGAGAAGCCTTCCTCAAGCCTTTGGGAGGCCGAAAAAGGCCTCAAACTGGCCAAAAATCAGCTGTGAGGCGCAGTGCAGGTAAGGGGCAGCAGGGGAGTGGGGCGATTGCACGCGCATGCGAAGGGGACATGGGGGGGCGTGCATTGCCTTCTGGGTGCTGGCATGTGAGTGTGAGCGTGCAAGCACGCACACAATTTTTGGCACAGGAGCCCGGATTTCCTGCCTAAACGGGGTTGGACTAGAAGATCTCCAAGGTCCCTTTCAACTCTGTTATTCTGTTCTATTCTATTTACCACAGTTTGCAGGGTCCTGGGGTCATGTGATCTCCCATTTGCAACCTGGCGTCTGGCAAGCAAAGTCAATGGGAGAAGCTGGAGTTTGCTTAACAACCACGTGATTCACTTAACAATTCCAGTGATTCGCTTAACAACTGTGGTGAAATGGTTAAAATCTGGAGATGAGTCACTTAGCAACTGCTTTGCTTAGCAATGGAAATTCTGGCCCCACTTGTGGCTGTTAAGGAATATCTGTAAGTTGTTATTTACTAGGGTTAAAATGCAACTGACCATTTCTGATAGTAAGTAGCCAGTTTATCTTGCTCCTCCTTGACCGAAGCAGGTGGCCAAGGCTGCCTTCTGCCTCTGGGTTTCCTGTTGCCTTCCTGCAGGTGGTGCTTCTGCTAGAAAGCAGCAATCTTAATGCTGCACCTTTCTTATTATCTAAGGCTGCTGCCTTTACAGACATCAACTACCCAGGTTAGCATAATGTGCCCTAAGACACAGTTTATTCATTAGTTGCGATTTATAGAACAAACCACACTTCGCCAGATTAGTACAATGCACCAACACCAAAGAAACCATATTTTGGCCCAATGCAACTTTGAAACCCAACATCTTTGCCAGGGTTGGTTTCAGATTTGAAAGTGGGAAGCTCTGGAAAGAGCTTTTGAAGAATGTTGCCTTCCATTTGTGGACTTCCCTAGCAACAGCCTTCTGATCGGTCCTGGAAGTTGCCCTTTGCATTTCCCATAGTTCCCCCGTAGAGTGTCATCCTTTGGTGTTGTATATTTTAAAATGGCAGCTCCCTTCATGTGATGCAAGTTAGAAAACAAATGAATGTTGTGTCTTCCCCCTCCCCACACCATCCCACTCCTGTAACATGTCTTACAGACCAGAGGCTGTTCTGGTCTACGCTTGGTGGTTCCCAAAATGGTCATTTAGGTTCTTACCAAAAGCTACTGAAAGAACCATCTAGTCACTATAGTAAGGAGCTGTTGTTAATCTGATGTCCATGAATGTATTTATATTTACTTTAAACTTCTCCAGGTTGGCCCCGCATCTATGGGGAATGAAATCCTTCCCCTTTACTCAAAAACACTGCAAAAGGCAAGCCACAATTTTCTTATGATCAGTGGTTAAACATAAGCGCTTAATTACTGACCTGCATCTTGGAAAATTACACTTGCATATTTTTACTCAAAACTATTGAGGTAGTTTACTTACTCTCTTATTTCTCTGTGTAGGGATGAATAACCCTGATGGATTTGGCAGGGTTTTTGTTAGGATTACAAAACAATTCTCATTGCAAAATTTGCAGTGCGACCAAGGAAGCAGTCAAAGATATTATGTATTTGAATAGAATGCGAACAGAAAAGAGGTAATTTGTATGTGATGATTCCCATCCCCAAACGAAGGCTCAGTATTTAGAGCTTTGTTTCCACCCTATATTGTCCTCCTTTCTACCTCTCTGATTCTTCTATCCAAACCAGGCATGTACGGTATTGTATCTGTAGGCAATATGAGATACTTGACTGGACCTTCAGACACAATCTGGTCCTATAGTCCTGCTATTTGTTTTTAAATTACATTCAGTTTACTTAATTGTCTGCACAACACACTCATAAATAAATATGATGTTCTAATAAATCATGTACCTTACAGAGTTGTTGCCGAAAACTATAGGCACAAATTTTATGGAGTATTCTGACTATAACCCTTAGCTTGGCTCAAAGCTTGGAGTTGTCATTATGTTTACTCAAGAATAGACATTTTCTTTGCCTCAAATCCCAGGCTTTTCGTCTTCCAGGCCACTCCATTATCCAAGGGGACATGACACAAATTCCCTTGAGGTTATTTAAAGCGGGATTTCTGATCAATTTTGCTTGAAAACAGGTACCATTATGTGGAGGGCAGGGAGTTGCATTTGACCATTGAATACCAGGATAGAAATGTCTCTCAGAAAGTAGCAGAGCCAGACAAAAGCAATCTGATTTAATTTGTAATAATACATTTGCAATGTTATTTTTCACCTGCTTCGTAGTTGCCTCTTTTTATTACAGATTGGCAACCCAGTTGTGACTGAGGTTGTCTCTTAAAATAGATAGAGTAATGATTAGTGGAAGGGAAGGAATTAGATAATTAGTAGTTCAGGTATAGAATAAGAGAGTAAGTAGAAAACATAGAATCAGGAAGATGGGCAAAAAAAGCAAACACAAGAAAGGAAAAATTTAAAAGACCCAGGAAAGGAGCTGTATGGTTCAGTGGAGATTGCTGCATCCAGATCACTCCTACCTCATTCTAAGAGACTTGCTATGATGCTGGGGCTGGTTGGAATTGGGAACTTTTAAGCAATATTTAAGAGAGTTGAAAGGCCTCTATTCCTGTTTGTTGTAAATCTCATAGCCAGACTATTTCAACTGCTTCAAATCCAGGATCTGCCAATAATGGCTGGAAATTTTGGTAGTTTTAATCCAATAGATTTGGAGGGTGCTAGGAGAGCTGCTTTACGACAATTGTTTTGTTCTCAAACACACAATTTTGGAACAGAGTAAGATATGGTTTTGGTCTATCTTAATGAAGCACAAAATTCATCAAACTGGAATTAGTAATGTTTCTACGTGTTGTCAACTCATAAAGCATTCCTATGCCTGTTTTCGAATTTCCATAAGCAGGTTGGGGTGGGGGAACCTGAAGGAGCAGTACGGCAATTAAAACCAGAAGTACATTCCACACTTACCTTACAAAGATTGTAGCCTAGGCTACTGGATCTTCTGCCCACGAAAATCCTTCATTGAAGAATATGATTGATGACACCCAGCCCTTGAATGTGCCTCTCATTGGAGAATCTGATTTATGACACACCTGGGGGGGGAGGGGGGAAACAAGGTCACAGGGGACCATAAATTACGTGTGGCAGAGTTGGCTTCATATAGGACAATGTCGACATGTTGTTCCTAATAAATCTTTTGGATTCTTTTGAAGCTTGGCTCTAGGCTCATGATTTAATTAGGGCAATTGCCGGAACCTTGACAGGTGGCTGGCTTGATTGTGTGGATTTCTAGTTATGGTTTATGGAATGATTATAAAAAGTGTCTGGCTTGATATGTCACATTAACTCAAACAATCCATGTTATTAATTAAAGTATTGAGTGAACCAGTCCAGAATTCTGACATGACTTAACTTTCCCCCTTGTTTGATTTGCTTAATCAATGTCATTTTAAATTAGAGAATGTCCTGTACTTCCTGCAAATTCTAAATAAAACTGTTTATTGAATGTTAGTGTCCTTTATTTTTTATCATAATTGTAAAAAAAATATGTACCTCAGCAAGTAGCAGCTCAGTTGATCTTGGTTATGATTGCTAAGCAGGGTTGGGTTTGGTGATGCGTGAAAGAGCACAAGGAAATCACAAAACAATAGTCTGAATTGGAGAGTTAAAAAAAAAACCTTCAGGAACAAACCAATGGAAAACTCTTTCAGTGGACATTGGAATGGTTCTGCCTGTAAATTAAACAAACTCATTAGCCATCTGTTGGGATAGCTTGCCAACAGTACATGTCCTGTTCTATACAGGAATTGGGGGAGCCAAGAAGTATTAAACAGGGACAGTTGAGACCTTGTGGAATAGCTACTGGATAAGTAGGAGGTTGCTGGTTGTGAGAACATTTGCAATAACTACATAGTTAAAGGCTGTTTAGTAAAAAGAAAAGTGAAAAAAGACAAAAAAAAAAAAAAACCAGAAGATTCAAAATCCATAGAAAGTACTCACAGCTCATAAGATGTGATGAAACAAAAAATGAGGATAAATATGGAGGAGAATTATTAGAGATGTGTATGAAGGTAAAACTAAAAACCTGCTGTAGATTAGCACTTGTTAGGATAGCTGTGAAAACCATGGAAAAGATATTTGGATAGTATGATACGTCTATCAGCAAGATCAGAAGCGACAAGGATTTCCCCTGTGACATTCTATGGAAGTAAATGTTGGACTTTGAAGAAGCAGGATAGAGTATTCATGCTTTTGAACTTTACTGTAAGATTCTTCAAGATGTCATAGGTGGCCAAGAAATCAAATAAATGGATCACAGTACAACCGATCCAGGGTTCTCCCTCAAGGCACCAGTGCCGAAGTTCAAATTATGTTTTGGTACATTATGTAAAATTCAAATCCCTTGACAAGTCCATAGTCCTGGGAAAGCTGGGAGGAAAAGAAGACGACAATATCAAGCTATTCTCCAAATTTAATAAATTTATTCTCTAAATTTAATAAATTAAAAAGTATACTTAAACCAACAGCTGTAATTTTAGGGCTGTAAGCCTAGTTCTCAAGTGAGCAATAGCATCATGCTGGTTGCTCAGCAACCATGCTTTTTTTGGAAATGCCCAAACAATGAGAAATAACCTTATGCTAAGCATTCAGTTTTCGGGAAAGCCAGAATTCAAGCAAACAGAATTAAAGCAATTTGTAATTCAGTCAGTTTGTAATTTATGCAGTTTATTGTTCTAACAAATTATCTTATGGCATTTTTTTTTTGTTTAAGATTCCAGTTTGTTAAGAAAGCAGAAAATCAGAGATCATAGTTTGAATATAATACTAAATAAACCATGGAGAAATGACACTGGATACTCCACTTTGCTAAACATTTCTACTGACAGAAATCAACAGCAGTGGATTCATATGTAGCAGCAGCCTTATTCATGTAGAATGTAGATTCTACTACGTAGATTCATGTAGAATGTAGATTCATGTAGTCTGTAGATTTTAAAAATAAATAAAAGTTTATGCTTTTGAATTTCAATTGGCGGGATCTGGAAGGCCCTTCTCTGCAGCTGTTCCTGCATTGTGGAACATTATGCCCTCAGAGGTGAGAAAAGCCCCCAATCTCTTGGCCTTCCATAAAAGGATGAAAACTTAGCTACTTTGAGGCCTTGTGGGGGGGAAGGGGCAGAGGCCCACACAACCACGAGGCTGGCTGGCCCCATGTGAACCACCACCCCACACCTGCATTAACAACTAATCTCCCACCTTGGAATTTTTCACCTTTGGAAAGTTTTATATTACAATTTTAAGACTATTTAACCTTAAATTGATTTTATTGATTATATTGTACATTGCTCTCTGAGGGAGAGGGATTAAGAGAGGGATTAAGAAATATGAAATATAAATATGACATTTTCCATTCTGTCTGACTTTTTGGTACTGAAATATCAGAAGAAATAAATTTTGAGAGCCTGTTTTCCTTTGGCTTCTGGAAATAATCAAAAGTACTCTATTAATACTTTGTAATTTGTCATAATTAATAATTTGTCAGAAATGGTATAAGGTCTCCCGCTTGGGCGGTGGGGTTGGACTAGATGACCTATAAGGTCCCTTTCAACTGTGTATCTGTTATGTTACCTTATTTTTAATATCATTTGAAATGGTAGTCTAAGTGAATAGCATAAAAAGCTTGCCTTCCTTTTAATAAAATGTGATAATTGGAAGTGTTCCCAGATTTATTTTTGTATATTGTTTGGGCATTTAATGTGCAAAAGTAACTTTGAATGTATTTAGTGTATTTGTTTTTATGGATATTGAAGGATCTCAAGTTTGGGGATTTTCACTCCTCTCCTCTTCAGATTCAACTACATCTCCAGCTTTGGGAAATTCCATTCTTTATGTGTTTATGGTTTTGACAGTATTTGCTTCAGGAGGTAGAAATAAAGGCAGCAAGAGAAAATTGGGCAGTGGATGTTAACCAAGAAGTCTGTCAGATGAAAGGGATGATCCCCTTGGCCCAGAAAAGGGAATCTGAGCTTTGCAAAGAGACAATATCTTGATAGGGGCGAGGAGGCTTGCTATATCTGTATTATATAGGCTCTGAGGAGCAGGAGTGAGATTCAGGCAGTTTGGGCTGGTTCAGGTGGACCGGATGTTAAATTTACATCTGGTTCCTGAACCGATAATTGAACTGACCGGCTGACCCCTCCCAGTAGTCTCCATGCAGTCCATTTGAGATGCAGATAAGCACAGGGTCCACATGGAGACTCTGGGAGGGCAAAACACAGCCCCCTCAGAAATGGGCCTCTGGAGGCTGTTTTCACCATCCCAGAGGCCCAGGGAAGCTTCCTGACTCTGGGGAAGGCGAAAAACAGCCCTCCCATAAGTCCAGAAATGGGCCTGTTGCCGGCTTCTAGAGGGCCTCTGGAGAACTGGTTGTTTTTGAATCCTACCCCTGCTGAGGAGTTAGCACGTTTGATGCCCAATCAAGCGCCTTCACACTTTTTCACCTGCTGCTTTTGCTGGAGAGAAAATTGTCCTTACTGTCAGATTAAGTCAGAGCCCAGTTGTTTTTGGATCAGCCCTGTGACGGCACCAAGGATCTCCTGCCTTAACAGGAGTGTGCTGAGGAAGAGGAATAAAATTAACCAAGGCATAGAAATAATAGTAGGGTCAATAATCAAAGGAGATGGATTTAATTTTATCCCATTTATAAAAACATAACACAACAAAAATACCAAGTGCTCCTTCCTCTTTGCCTCATTCACGCTTATGAGGTAAATTGGGCTGAAAGCAATGGCCCAATCACCCAGCCAGCTTTCATGCTTAAGGCAGAACTAGAAACACCAGGTTTCTAGTCTGATGCCTTAACCACTAGACAAACTGGCAATCAGAACAGTTATAAATGTTTATACCAATTTAAAATTTGTTAATTTAATCCAGGATTTTCTCAATCCCAAGAGATTAGGGTTGTCAATCAAGATATTGGCAGCCTATGTACTAAGTTTATTCAGCAGTGGAGGAAATAAAGGGATTGTTATCACTGTTCAATAGAATCAATTTGCCTAGCTTGATATACTTTTAGAACAGGGCCACATGACCAGCACTTAAAGCCATGGGCAACTTTTTATAAGCTGCCACAAGTTTTTGATAGCCCTTACACACTAGGCCTACTTTGTTAATGAATACCCCTGCTCCTATTGTGTTCAGGTTCCTTAGATTGGTATTTAAAAACATTCTTATACATTTGATTTTTTTGTGAATGTTTAGTGCAGTGAAAAGCTCCTTCAAAAAGCCTGTGGGTGGCTCTGAAAAGAGCCTTTGGGTCTCAGTATTGTCCCCCGGGGCAGGGTTGGTTTTCTTGTCTTCACTGAACAGAAACAGGAGCGGTCGTCGGTTTGACAGCGACTTTGGGCACCTTCGTAGACTTGCTCACGCTAGTGGTGGGCTTGCTGCTACTAGCGCTATGTAGAATTTCGGTTTTTTTCGGCAATAAAACCGCATGGATATTCGGCAAGACGCCACCCTGAGCAATCGTGACTCCCCCCAGCAACTTGTTTAATTCTTCATCGTTGCGCACCGCCAACTGCAAGTGTCGCGGGATGATCCGACTTTTCTTGTTGTCCCTCGCGGCATTACCAGCGAGCTCCAGAATCTCAGCGCTCAAGTACTCCAGCACCGCAGCCAAATATACCGGTGCCCCTCCTCCAATCCGCTCGGCGTAATTGCCCTTACGCAGAAGCCGATGAACTCGACCCACAGGAAACTGCAACCCGGCTCTGGAAGAGCGGGATTTCGCCTTTGCTCGTGCCTTGCCTCCAGTTTTACCTCGGCCCGACATCTTCAAACTCTTCCGCCTCACAAGACAAAACAGTAGCGAACAATCGCCGTTGAAGGTCTTTTATACCTTTCTTGACCGCATTTCTCTTAATGCGATTGGTTGAAAAGAGCAGACCAATAGGAAGCATTCTATTTTAACCAATAAGAGACTAGTATCGCTGAAGACGAGTATAATAAAACGAAATAACGGCTTTTATAAAGAAAAAAAAATCTCTAATATCCTTTGTATAATTTTATTCTAGTGTTAACTATATGCGAGAGAAGTCATTTACTTTACCACATTAATAAGACTTAGACATATTTTGTAAATGTTTGCTCTTGTTCATAGTACCATATAATCTAGAATTGATCCATTTGATTAAAACCTTCCTGCATATGAAATCATACGAAGTTTTGTGCATGTGTTGGGTAGCCACAGGTAAGTTGGGGGGCATATACATTTATTTAATAAATATATAATTATAATAATTGGATAAGAAAAAACTGCTGAAAAATTCCTTCTTTGCCTTTAACATCCCTATCCCTATTATAAATCAAACGCTGTCGAGCAGGGCAGGTTGACAGAATACATTTCTCTTTCTAGTTTGTATGATTATTTTATCAAATACTGTCTACAAAACGTATAGTTCTTGATAAATTCTAAATACTGGAGATATAGCCAAAACTTAATTCTGGAGATGGATGGCAGTACAAATTGAATAAATACACTTAATTTAATGTCCAACCCAAAATTTTGCTTTTCATCCTAAACTTTTATAAGTGAGGGTGTCCTTAGTGCTCTCGGAAATTGGTTGTTTTCTTGCAGACGTTTCATTATCTTGATGTTACCTACGTAGTTTGGGTAATGAAACGTCTGCAAGAGAACAACCAAGCTCCGAGAGCACCAAGGACCCATCATTTCACACCTGAGCTACAAATATTATCCTTTATTGGCACTTTTATAAGTGCAGTTAAACGTTACTTTGCAGGCTAATCTGACAGGAACGTGAGGGTCATCATACATATTAAATGAGTCCGAACTGAAACATGAATCTGAGGTATTCCATTGTATTAAATGCAACACAATCTACAAAGGTTTCTTGAAAGACTTGAGGATTTATCCCCTCAAACGAGGAAGTAGGATTACAATCTTAATATAGATTTTTCTGACCAATACTTATTAAAGCTAGCCATAGTACCATTTGCTGTTACAGCAAATTGCTGTTCTTCGTATATCCCTCATTGGTCAGTTTTTCTGAATGTAATCCAATCAGAACTCACCATCAGAATCCAAGTTAATATGAACTGGAATGTCTCATTTGAGGCGAACTCGACTCTTAATGATACCGTAGGCGCATCCTAAGAACGCTTCACTTGTTTTCATTTTTAAAGTGTTTAGTCACACACCAGTTTCATGATCACAAGTGAAAATATAGATCCCAGTTATTTCAAATTAATTAGCATCGTGAAATCTAAAATATGCCGACCCAAAACTATACATGCCTCTCGGAATTCTTAGATTTCATCAGAATACCGTACCGACCAATGTGAGAAAGAATCGGGCGGGGGAGAAATGACAAGTGTGCTTGTGTATCAATTTTAACCTTCGGTAACACCCTCCGCCTTAATATACAATAAAGAGTCATGGAGAATTTTGTGAACTCTGAAATTTGTTTATTAGGATCAGCCCCAAATGTAACTGATCAGCCTACAGAAATAGAAAGATCTAGTGTGATGGCTCCGTGGCTGAATCTAGAACTGCACTAAGAAAGTTCCGTCCAATCCAAACAAATTCATTATCTCCGTCGATATACCGGTAGCTGTAACGATCGATTTATAAGCTCCCACCCCACCCCTCCAATGGGCGGCTAGGTATTTTTATTAAGCTAATTCCGTACAGTATTTCCAATTAATTCAATTTTATAAGATATGTTATTTTTAATTTCCTTCAAAGCCCCAATAATCTAAGACAAAAATCACAAGTAAGTGATTTTGTTTGCTTCCCACGTCGGGTGGCGAAGACAGAACCTAAACGGTAAAAAAAAATAAAAAATCGGAAGAACAGTAAACCAGGGCGCATGCTCAAATCAGCTTAGAAAACCCATCTGTTTCGATGCAGGAATACAAACTACCTCTGATTCAAAGATTAAGCTGGAATAGGACGGTTGAGAAGAAAACCCGTCGGTACCAAGTTTTCAGTCAGGAGAGTCACGCCCCCTTTACAGTCGGCCCTGACAGAAAACTTTGAAAAGGTTGACTTTGAAGTAAACATGCGTGATATTGCATTGCAGTATCCTTATTGACTTTTGGTTGATTATTATGGTGATATATCTTGTATTGTTTCTATTGTGTAATTAAAACACCAATCTGGGAAAAATACACAATTCTGTGATGCTGTATAATGTCGAGAGGGATGTGAGAAGAAATTGGATTTAATGCACACACCATAAAATACTGGATAGGCTGGAGAAAATAAACCGATTTTTCAGAATATAAAATTAAAGTTCACTGCAGTTTTGCCTGGAATACCATGTGCAACGTCCTCAAGGCATAGAAGTTATTTTTACGCCTAAAGCAAGATTAGAACTCAGTCTCATGACTAAACCAAACTGCCTCACTTCCTCATACATAGTAGCTCTTGTAAAAGGTAACCAGATTCTCACAGGGAAAGGTTTTCTGTCATGTTCAGGTAGTTTTCAGAGGATTAAGAGAATTAATGGGAATAAATTAACAGTGCAACTTGCATGAGAAGCTTTATTTGTTCAAATATATGTCCTTCCACAGCAATCATTAAGACTCTTGTCCTCTTTTACCTCTGCCCATTCTAATTTATCAAATTGGGAGAATAAAATTCACTGGAATTCTTCAGTTCCATGTGAATTATGTCTTCTCCTGGTCTTTCTATTTTTCACCAGTTAGAATCTTCTGAAGAAAAGGGTGAGGTTATTGAAAATGTCTGACCTGACTGAAAATTGAATGTTTTCCAGGAGACATTAAAAAAACAACACAATGTCCATCCTTAGCTGGTCATTTTATAGCCATTTTATGATTTCTCCATTGCAGTCTATAACTTTTCAACATCCCTTATGATGTTTAAACAAATGATGGTCTTAATATATATAACCTTTTACGTCATTTATTTTTCTTAATTGGTTCCTAGTAGATAGCAACAGATAGGGGCTTTAATAGATGTAGCTACAGAATAAAACACACCAGGCTAGAAACCTGTCTTAGCCATCAAAACCAGTGGGTGACTTTGGGCCAGTCATTCTCTCTCAGTCCAAATCACCTCACAGGGTGATTGTGGCGAAAATAGGAGGCAGAAGTTGTGTTGTATATGTTTGCCACCTTGGGTTATTTATAAAAATAATAAAGATGAGAAACAAATAAAATAGAATGAGTGTTCTCCTACCTCTTCATATTATATGAAAAAAGGCTTACCCATCATCTGTTTTACTGCAAATCTAGTGTATTTTATTTGCTGTAATTTTGAGGAGTGGAACTTTATTCTGTCTAGGCTATAATCCCATCCAAATGTTATTTGATTCTGGAAACTGAAATGCTTTCTAAAATATTATTTTCAAGATGAAGGCAAAATAGAACTCAATGCTGAGGACAAAATAGTGATTCTGACAGAAAATGCAGCACATTTTAATCTTTCCCTTTCTCCAGAGAATTTAAACTAGCTAAAAATCCTCTGAGGTAAATTAGTTGAAAGGTTTTAATGGGCTAATAGCTTCAGGGGAAATTGGGGAACTAAGATCTGTGTGGTCAGCCTTCCTTTGTCATTTCTTTCTTATGCACATAATTTCAATTATAATTATAATCATAATTAAATATAATTTTAATCCTGCAACAAAAATATTATTGCATATATGTAATGGCCAGTGTATTCTTCTGGTTTTATTATATTATTGTGCTACTGATTATTTGTGAATTTTTGTTATGTTTTTTCATTATGCTATCTTAAAAGTGGAATATTCAATTTCTTGTAAATGTTTTGTATTAGCAGGACTGCATGCAAGTAAGAATAAATTTAATGCCCCAACTTTTTAAAGTTTCTTTCTTTTCCATCATGACACAAGCTCTGCCCCTTTGCAAAATTGCATGGTGAGTGTATATTGCAAGTATTATTGTGACATGTAATTGAAAATTGAACCTGTGGGCTTTTCCAGACAGTTAATTTTTCTACCACTGACATTATCCATATTCCCATCATTCTCACAATATTGTAAAAAGATAGAACTCATATCAAATGTTAATAAGTGGGGGGTGGGGGTGGGGGTGGGCTTCTGCAAATGTAAATTTTCTTCAGAATCTGCTCCATTTGTGGTTATTCAAAGATCAAGTTTTTTCATTCTAAAATCTTGTGAGACATGTTTGTAAGGAGTGCATTCTCCAAACCATACTGTGTCAAAATGGATCTTGTTACATCCACCTTAAATGAAGTTCAGGTACTCAGTTGCTTCTTCTCTTTATTTATCTAGCTGATTTCCAAGAAATTGTGTATTTTTATGATGGACAAATAGATGGGAAACCAAACATGATTTTCCCCTCATTTTTGGGTAGAAATTCACCCACCATACAGTACTGACATTAGCGTCTCCCACCCAGAGTGGTTCACACATTCACAGACTTTGAACCCATTTCTTTTCTTGAAAAATATGCTTACTTTGGCAAAAGAGACAGATTCTCCTCAGAGACTGCTCTATGGAATATTAAAAACAAAACCCCAGATACCATAGGACCATATTTCCTCCTAATTTATACCTCCCTCAAGTATGTGTAAGCTTGATAGTGTAAAAATTGACTATATTCAAATATGTTTTTTTTTCCAAAGAAGGCCTTTCTACTAGCCTCTTCCCTACATTTTGAAGTATTAACATTTAAAAGAAGAACTCTTTTTCATTCTTTTACTTAAAATATATTTTAAGAATATAAAATGACATGAAAACAGAGTATATCATATAAATGAAGCTTCATTTAGAGCTATACACACAAACACACACTTGGACAGTTTTCCCTCTGAGTATATCACAGACCTACCTTTTTTATAGTAGATTTTTATTTGATCAAGAGAGGATTTTTCTCTCAATAAACAGATATCATACATATTAATTATTATTAAGTTATTATTCCTTAAAAAGTCAATAGAGAGAGGAACAACTGAAATAGCAACAATCTTTTGTGACCTATTTTTCATTCTTATGTAGGTGTGTACATGTCTCTTGGTAGCTAGCTTTAAAAAAAGTGATAAATTTATTAGAAATTAAAATTTAAAAGACACAAATTAAAAGAAATGAATAAAGAAAAATACAATGTGCAGAAAAGGAAAAAATAAAAATATCAAAAAGGAAAAATAAGCATATATTTAAGGAATATGTAAAGAAAAGAAAAAAATTAGATTGAAAAGAAAGGAAAAAATATAAAGATATATAAAGAAGTGGCTTCCTCCTTCATCACAAGTATAAACAATTTTAGCAACTTATCATCTTCCCTTAAAATACAGCAAGTTATCTTTTCTTCCTATATCTTATCTATAAACAAGTTCTTTAAAGTCTCATCTTTCAGTCCTGATCAGCAAAAGTTCATTAAAGGTTACCAGAGATAATGCTATATCTATTTTAATCTTGATCAAATAAACCAATTTCCTTTTAACAATCTCAGTCTTTAGTCCTGTCGAACAATGTCCTTCCTAGAAGTTGATTTCTTTTAGTTTTTATTTTGTCCCTTTTCACAAAACTTTTCCAAACTTTAATAAGTCTTTTGTAAATTCAATATATGAAAGTTATTCAGGTGACTCTTTTAGTTTATCATTGGTTTATCACATTTTTAAGAGAATTTAAAAAGCATTTTATCACAGGAAGAATTCTTATAATTAATTCCAAAATCTTATTTCTAAACATTCTGAACCCTTAGTCAATTTGTAACTTTCCTAATTCAAAGTTCCAGTCACCCTTTTTTTATTTATTCCAAAAATACTTAATTCTTAGACTTCTATTTAAAAGTACTTTCTCTAAAATCTGCTGATCCAAAGGTTCCTAATAGCAATAGCACTTAGACTTATATATTGCTTTACAGTGCTTTACAGCCCTTTCTAAGTGGTTTACAGAGTCAGCATATTGCCCCCAACAAAGCAATTAACAAACAATTTCAAAAGTGATTAGAAAAGGAACTATGAAAACCCACTGTTCTTTTAAAGGCAATGACCACAGTTTGAGCAAAGCTGGCTTTCCTGCATCTCCCAGAGCTCTAAACACTCCAGAGATTGTCCTGCAGCCTTCTCACAAGAAGAAATTGTATGGAGCACTTGTGGGCTATCTCAAGCCTGTTGTTTGTCCAAAGAGGAAGTATGAAGAACTGGTCTACTCACTGACTCTTTATTCTGCTGCAGTTGTTGCTGAGATCGGAGCCAACTTCAGTTCACCATTTCTTCCCCAGAAGTCCCTTGCTTTTAAAAATTGTGGAGAAAAATTTCCATTTTGAATTTCATCACCACATTGCTTCACGTTTTCCTTGGAGGACACAACTCATCAGATACAAAGCATTCTATGAATACTCCTTTCCTCTTGAAGCTTAATCTTGTTTTTTTTTTCTAAAACAGCACTCAGGATGTAAATCATACAGTTTCCTGCTCTCATTCAGCTCCAGCTTGGGGCAGGGTGGGGGACATTAACAGAAGGAGTACCCAAAAGATGGAGTTGTTTGAAAGGATGAAACTTCTTCTGTTTCATGGCAATGTGCTTGCAAGCACGCAATTATTCTGTCATTTCAGTGCAAGGAGTCCTTGCTTACCAAATACCCTTGTTTAATGACCATTCAAAGTTGATAGTGTAAAACAAACCCCCAGTTTTGTGATCAACCCTTACATTTATGACCATTGCAGTATCCTGCAGCTCCATAATTGCCATTCACAGGCTTCATAACTGGCTTTCAACAAGCAGAATTAAGCAAGCAGTGAAATCACAAATTGCAGTCATGGGATGTCTCACTAAATGATCCTGGCTCTTAGCAATGGATAAGGAGTGCTGATATACCACCAACATATCAAGTACTTAGGAGGCAGGGCTTGGCAGCACAAGGAAACAATAGCCAAGGACTTAATAGCCAGGTATCAACCCCCCAATCAATGTCTAAAAAGTCACACACAACAAGCACCATCTAAATACCACAAAAGGAATAGCCCAAAGCACACACACTGCTAAAGAGAAGTTCCCTGAGGATGGGCTCCAGCCCTCTGGTCCCAGTGACTGATCTGGTTTGGATCCTGCAACATTATCTTGGGACATATATATTCACCTTCATTTCTCTTATCAATAGAGTTGCCAGTCCCAGATGTAATTGTTAAGCGAGGACTACCTATACCCATTCCTGCCCTTCCACCCTGTGCATTCCCTTCCCTTTGCTCATGACAGGCAACCTGTGAGCTACATGCTGTTCAGCCTGCCTCTCTCGATTTTATTTCCAAAGCTGTCCAGATAGTGCTTCCCAAACCCAGCCCTAATTTGCTGAATTGTAAAAACAAGATTTTTATATTTTTATATGCAAGCCTCAGGGTAGGTGCATTAAGGCTCCCATTGCATTAATACAGTATTCTATTTTAAAGCAAACCTGAAAAAAGAAAAATAAAGGTTAACATTTTAGCCCCCACTCCTCACCATATTTCACCTAAATTATCATTCTTACAGAGGCTGGAAAAAAATTTTTAGAGTATAATTCCTGACTGCCAAAAATGTTGCTCCCCTCACTTAATACACATATAACACACATGTACCACCTTAGTCTATAGCTCCAAGGTTGTTTCTCCATTCCTGATCTCCTTCCAAGCTTGTGAGGGTCAAGTAGAGGAAACAACCTGAGGTAAATCAGAACCAGGTAACTAAGATATAGAAAAGGCTGGCCTCCAACTTTTTCTTGCTTGAGGTGAGTGACATCCTTCCACCTCTCAAGACCCCACAAGTTTCTCCTTCTCCATGATATTAAAGCTGAAGTAAGAAGAAGTGATCCCTATATGACAATTTACAGCCCTTGCATGATATGGAAAATGAACTGCCTGTCTCTGTCTAGTGCCATATAATGTGAAGAGAGAGCTCTACTGCATTAACTTTTCTAGATTTTCTAAGATTTCTAAGGTTTTTTCTAAGATTTTCTAAAGGGAAATCACCAAGGACACAATCTAAGCCAGCACCCTACCCCTACATATAAGAAGGGGAAGACTACTTCCCCATTAAACGCGGCTGAGAAGAAGGTGAATATATGCGATTGGTGATTGACGTCATGAAAGGCAACTAGTTCCATCTCATAATCCAAGTAAACTCCCAGTTTCCTGGGCTTCTTCTTCAGAGTCAGGGGGGTCTTGGGTAGGGTAAGAGCTTTGTATTGGATCCGATCTTTTCCCACTGCCCAGATTCCTTCTTCTGGGACAAGGATGAGCTTTCCCTTTCTCTTCATGGAATTTCTAGCCACCCCCAAGGCCCAGTATCCATCCTCTCCAACTTCTACTTCCCAATAATGCTTCCCGGAGGAAAATCCCTCCCTTCCCAGGACACAGCGCTCCGTGTTAAATCTTTTAGGACTGTATGGTAAACTCTGCCACATGAATCCCTGTATGACAGTTTTCTGGTCTGCAGACAGGATCAGGTCTTGGTTAGCCGTTTCTGGGTCCAGAACTATGTTTGCTGAGAGGAAAAGGAGAAGTGGGAAAGGAGAAAGAAGGGGAGGATAAAAAGGTTAACCTAAAAGACAATGCTGCAATTGCCCCATTCTTAATTATAATGAGGAAGAAATTAATCAGCCCATAAATCTTATTTTGAAACAACATTTAGCGCTTATCCCATTAAAATATCCATTTCCACTACTGCACCAAGTCTCCCTTGATCTATTTAGTCGATGATATGAATGGCACTTCCCTGGACTAAACTGCAGCAAACCAAGGAAGTGCCTTAACACAATAGGCTAATGTTATTTCATTTTAAATAAAATACACAATGTATTTGACATCTAGGTATATACTAAGTAAATATATAATATTTTGTACTTACTACCTAATTTTGGGAAGTCTTTTTATTGTACTTTTAACCATATGTTGATGAAGATTCTTAGCCATCCAGGTAGAATTGTCTGGAAGTTAAATCGTGGAAACAACATGACTCAGCAAGAAAAAAAGAGCCCATTTGCCATGACTCAACTCCCAGACATTTCTACCTGGATGACTGAGAATCTTCATTGACATATTGCTACATAGTTTAGGGAAGAAACTCTGAGGTTGGTGCGGAAATACTCCTAAGAATTTTAGGAGTATTCCAACAACTCTCTGCCTACTCATTCCCCTAACCAACTAGCTCAGACTAAAGAAGCTGCTTGGATGGACAGTGAAACATCTCAAACCAACAAGAGAAAATAAAGCCCAGTTGGCACAACTCAACTTCCAAACATTAGTATGTTTTCATATTATTTTGTGATGCATTTACAAACTTCCCAAAGTCACCTAAATGAGCTGAAGGTGTAAAAATTTGATAAATAAATACAATAAATAAGTAAAAAAAAGTAGCCATATGTTAAGCTCAGAACCTAAAATTAGCTATTTGCACAATTCATGAAAAGGTCTTTACACATGGATGATAGGGCTTCTATGGAAGTCCCTTGTGTTGCTAAAAAAATAAAATTTCCCCATAAAATTTCTTTAAAGAATGATATCAAAATATCTACTAATGTGTATTGTATTTGTCTTTGAAAAATGCAGCTGGGCTGATAGTACCTGATTCATTTACATATAAATACCAGAATTTAGCCCATGACATCACTTTTGAATTAAAAAAAATATTTGGAGTATGGAGTAAAAACCTCATTAAAATTTGGTGTAAAATGTTCAGTTTCAGAGATTAGCACAACAATGATGGAATTTACATTTTGGAGTGATAACAAAAAGGACAATCACCAACCTTTTTCTATTGGTACCACCATGTTTCTCCAGCCTAAAAACAAGATTAAAGATTAAAATATATCAAAGGAACATTTTAATGTTGAAAAAATAATTTTAAAAAAACCAGCTGTTCAAAATCACTACAAAATAATTTTCTTTCTTCATCATTAGAACATAGCAGGCCCAAGTGCCTTTAAGTGGGAGCACCATCACTTGAGACTTTCAAGAGGAGATTGGACTGCCATTTGTCAGAAATGGTGTAGGGTCTCCCGCTTGGGCGGGGGGTTGGACTAGATGACCTACAAGGTCCCTTCCAACTCTGATTATCTGTTATCTGTTAAGTTTTAAGCTCCAATGTTTTTCTATACAAATTTAAATTCTCATCACCATCGTCATCATCTTTTGGTTCTGAATGAGGTTGCCCCCCTCCCCAAACCAATCTGAGGGTTGTCCTGAACTCACAGCTTCTATTCGAACAAGAGGTGGCAGCAAGTGGCGAGGAGGGCTTTTGCAAACTTCGCTTGTGAACCAGTGCATCATTTCCTAGACTTGAAGGCATATCACTCATGTCTCATATCACTCATGTCTTGATCATCTCCCAAGTAGATTACTGCAATTAAGTGGGGCTGCTTTGAGAGACCATCTAAAAGCTGCATCTAGTCCAGAATGTGCCAGCATGAACAGTTTTGGTTGTTTCCTCAATACATGTGTGTTATGTCTGTTCTCTGAATTCCACTGGCTTCCAATGTGCTTACAAATGGAATTCAAGATGTGGTTGAACTTTTTCAAAGGAAAAAAAGAAAGTCCAGTTGCCTGGATGATCAAGAATCTCCATAGACATGTGGTTGTCACTTATATGGCATGGGGCTGGATTATTTGCAGGACATTGTGTTGTTTTTATCAGGTCCAATAGGAAAGACACTGTCCAGATCCCCGCAATTAAAGAATGCCATCTTAGGAACACCCTTATCTCACAAGATTAAATTAAAGCCAACTCTTTCAGTCTGTCAGAAAGTTCAGAAGACCTGGGTGTGCTCCAGAGCATGGAGGATGGGAAACTAGATGTGAGATATCATTGTTCTTGATGAGCATTCATTGCATTTCTTCTTGGTGACCAGTATAAGTTTTATGTTTCTGCTGTTACTATTTTTTTCTTTTTCTTTTAATGTGTTGTTAGCTGCACCTAAATCATATTTGGGGTATGGGTGGCCATATAGATTGATTTAATAATAATTATTTACACTTATTTGTTATCTACCATAATTTGTTAGGGGAGGTTGAGAAACTGTCCCAGGAAAGAAATCAAAAGGAGTTTTGATGCCTATGATATTTCTATTTCTATTAAGTGTCCACTTAAAAAAATTATGAAGGAGTTTGAAAATTATAGCATTACACATATTTTTTTTAAAATTCACCTAAAGGAGTGATTATTGCTCAGCAACAGAATTACATGCTTTGCACATTGGAGACCCTAAATTTAACCCCTTTAGAACAGAGGTCTAGAACTTTTGTTATTTGAAACCATGGAAAATGCTGAATGTCATGATGAGATAATTGGTTTGTTTGTTGTTAATTTTCTGAAGTGCTCACTTTGTTCCTATCAGCAAATATTCTGCTACTAGCTTTTATTTGTCCCTTTCTATTTTGTTACACAGAGTGACAATTTTACAAAAATATAATTAAGTTGATATTCTTTCTTTCCCATGAAAGACACAACACAGAATCACCTATAATACCTATATTATACATTTTAAGGAATGCTTAATCTCACTGGGATTGATGTATTTAAGATTGATAATTTCTATATTGGCCCAAATGTTTTTCTCAAAAAACAGAAGAAAAAGAAAATCACTTACTCAGTTCAGTGACCAGCTTTCCTAGAATAGAAGAAAACAAAATCAATGTAGTACTGCTGCAGAAAACATAACTGTATGGCTTTAACTCCTCCCCTCAGGATGCCACTGTAGGGCATTGCATGTCAAAACAACTAGACACAAAGACAGTCCCCCCACCCCAAGCCATCACTCTGCTAAACACCGAATTCCCACAGCACATTCTTATACTTAAGGATATTTACCCATGTTATGCTTCTCATCTTTCCTATTACCTTCTCCTATTGGTATCTTATGATTTATCATTTTGTTGTTTGTATGTACATTAAGTACACCTTGTGTCCAAACACACTTGGCCAATAAAGAATATTCTGTTCTGTTCTTTGCCATCATTATCTGTAATTAAAGCCAACTGGTATTCCCTAAGTCTTTGGAGAAATGATGAAGAACAAAATAACAGCTAGACATAATCATCATTCAATATATAAGATAATAGAAAACTAATCAAAAGCTAGCAAAGATTTTTTTTTCTTTCATGTTATACTGTTGATAGATTGATCTTTGGGGGAGGGGGGAGTTATTCCTTTAAACCAGTGGCTTTTAAAATATGGTCTAAGGATCCCTTTTGACAATTGTTGAAGATATTTGCAGAATTTTAAAAGAAAGTAATTCTTCTCATTATTGCCTTTTATTCGTTAAGACATGTTTTTTTTATTTTAACATTTTTTATTAAATTTCAAAGATAAAAGATTAAAATACAAAATTACAACAAAAAAGAAAAATTAAGGGGCAATAGAGAATGTTTACTGTAGGATTTTTCATGAAATATAGTTATGTTAGTGTGTAATGGGTTTAATGATCTTTTTACTTATTCAATAAATAAATATTCTATTTTAATTTTTAATATGGTAAATATTTATAAACATAATCTATATAAACAAAGGTCTTTTGAAGTTTTCCATAATTATTAAAAGTTCAAAAAGATTCTTTGAGCAAAAAGTTTAAGAAATACTGCTTCAAACATTGGGTGAATTGGATCACCAATCTACCTCTAGATGGCAGCAAAGTGTAAGACATTTTTTATAGCTGCTGACTGCCATCTAGTGGTCAACTATTTTATGCATCTGAGATATAGTTGTTGAGGAACTGAAATTCAACTAAAGATTAATTGTGAATATCCCTGTGGGAATTGTAAACTATCCTAAGAACATAACTGAGGAAAGAAAGTAAGGAAAAAGAACTTTTTAATGTGCTGTGGCCAGGGGAGAGGGAATTTTGTGATGACTCCTTTAATATCATTAATATTATGGTTAATATCATTCTCTCCTGTTTTGTGTTTTTTTTAATTATTTTTAATTGTGATTGCTTTTATGTTTTTTTATTGTGCTGTATGTCCCCCGGTGTTGCTTTCATGTAAGATGGTCAACTACACGAATATGATAAATACATAAATAAAATTGCCTGCTAGGCTACAAAAGTACAAAAGCTTGAGTTTTTTCCATTCCCTTCCTCCTCCCTAGTTCTACACATTCAGCCTGGAATGGGCTGATCAATTTCAAGACTAGAAGAACCAGTTAACCAACTCATTGAGAACCAATGGCTACGGAAGCCAAAATTCAGTCAACCTTGCAGTGGAGTGAGAGGTGAGGGACAGATTAAAGGGGCAGATTAGAAGAACCATGAGATTGCCAGCATAGGACACATCATTTCAGGTCGCCTCCCTGAACATGCCTTATACGACTGCATGTAGCATCTTGAGGCAGAATAGGGAAAATACTCCTTCTGGAGCACAGCATCTTACACCATCCTTAGTGGCAGATGAATGCTAAGGTTCAAGCAAAGACACAAAAAGAGTAGTGTCCCATCCTTGCACACTGAGGATTTACCCTTGGAAAAAACATTAGCCAGTGTTCCCATCTATTAAGAAACACTGATTCCAACCAAACACAATTTCTGTAACTGCAGAATTTAATCTTGTAATTAACTATGCATTAACTCTACTTTTATGTCAATTAAAGGGCAGTTTCTGATGTACTCACTGTATTTGTTCAGTAGGTAAAAAGTAAATATAGTGAATCCAACCACAGCCATTAAGGAAAAACATATAGCTACTATCCAGGATGACATTTTGGGGAAGAAGTGATCTGAAAAATGAAAGAAGTATAGATGAATGCATTTTAAAGCAACTCTGAAAGATTGAAAAATGCTTTGCTTTTCTCTTTCCTATCCCTTCCGCTATGATTCATTAATGTTTCAGAAACATATGCATTAACCAGTAAAATACATCCAAAATTCACACTATACCCACTGATTCAGATAAAAACATTCTCCTTACATTTTCCCAAACTTTTAGTCCTCAAGAGTTAAAAAAGGAGAATGCAAAGAATTCATTTGAGATTTTCTTCTGGGAAAGATGTCCTGTATAACTCTTCATTGATTTTGAGTTTGCCCTAATCAAGACATGGGCATTAGCTGCAACTTCGTCTAATTTTGAATTCAGAATTTCAAACTCGTACTACTGCAAAGCCCAATTCCTAAAATATAGAATAGCTATTAACAGTTTTTATGGACTCACTTGTTATGTGGATGGTTGACTCCTTTTCCTGACCAAGGAGACTATTTCTAATGACACAGGTCAGGTTTGAACTTGCTTTTAAAATAATGTCAGCTTGTACATCGAATGTCCCATCAGTTCTTTGTGAATCTTTTTTTGCCAACGAAGATAAAAGCCTCCCATTGAGCTCTCTCCATAGGACTTCAGGCTTTGGATACCAGCCACTGGAACGACAAATCACTCTGATCCCTCTGTCCTGATAACCTTCAATGGAAAGGAGAGGAGCAGGCCCTAATGCTAGATGTGGGACAAATATGCATATTTTAAGCGTTTTCAGGCTGTTCTGAAAATGGTCATCCTGCAGAGCTAGGGAAATCTGCAACCCCCAACCACCTAAGCTGACATTCTGGCTTCAATTGCTAGAAAAACTAAGGAATGCCTTGCTGCTATTGTGAGATGAAAACACGCACAAAATCCCATAATATAAGCAATATAAGGTGTTGTTTTTTTTTAAAGAAAAAGAAATCTTCAAAAAAGGAGGGAAGAAATTTGAGAAAAATTAACACCTCATTTGTATCCATGTGATGAGGTCCTATTCACTTTGAATTCTTGTCCCATTTATTCTGTCTTTCAGCCCTCCAGCCCAAATATTAAATCAGGTTGTTGGCCCCCAGAAGTTGCCCTCTTCTAGTCTGTTCAAAGAGTTATGGAATCAGTTCAAAGAAAATAGCAGCAAGATATCCAACACTGAGGGATAAAAGAATATTTGGTTTTTTTTAAATACTGTAGGATCAAAAGATTGTCCAGTCTTATCTTCATCCTGTAATTATTTAGATTTTTTAATCATCACCCTGTCTCCTTCCTCATCCCCAAGTATAAAACCTAAATTCTACCATAGAAAGTTGGCATACTGCATAACGGGTGTCTTTGGATGTCAGATGAAGCATAAAAGGCAAAACATACACTAGAACTATTATTATGGAGAACTTTTTAATGTCTGGATTATGATGAGTATTGACAACTTCTCTATTTGTCTGCTTCTATATTTTACCTCTTAAGGCAAAGAAGTAAGCGTGATTTTTCCTCCTCCTCCTGTCAAAACGATCCTACCCTTTCCTTCCAACATAAGATGAATGGTGGATTGAATCAGTTCCAGACACTGGAATATCATAAGAACATGAAATGAAACTTTCCAGGTCTGATAAAACTTCCAGTAGTAGCATTTCAGATATTTCTAGTAAACCTACAAACAGAGCATGCAGTCAACAGTACAGTATGTCTCAATTCTTCTCAGTATTCACTATTAGAAGTATATTGCACTTGAATATGAATATTCACAGATGTACAACCAGTCATCAGTGAGGTTGCATACTTTTAGAGGAGCAGCTTTGAATGGTGGTAAATATTCGAGATGTCACTTTATTGAAGAAGCGCAAGGAGTGATAAGGGCAGCAGTTATTACCAAAAGAAGCTGCCTGAATTTGCTTTATAGCAGGTGTTTTATAGCAGGTGAAACCTCAGCTATGCAGCTGTAAGAGATGACTGGCTGAGCCCAAGGGAGGGGCATCTTCAGTCTGGAGTCCCTTGGTGTCCACAAGAGATCTAAGTCCAGCCCACCTTGAATTACTCTGACTCTTATCTACCGCCTATTTGCTTCAACTGTTAGTAGTTCAGATTGAGGGGTCCTTGGTGCTCCCTGAGCTTGCTTGGTTTTTTCGCAAACGTTTCATTACCCTAATTAGGTAACAATACATCATCAGTACTAGCACTCTAGCACTGATGATGTTACCTAGTTAGGGTAATGAAACATTTGCAAGAAACCAAGCAAGTTCAGAGAGCACCAAGGACCCCTCATTTCAACCCTGAGCTACAAATATTCTCCTTTTTTAGTAGTTCAGATTCTTGTAGAGAGCATAAACTTGCAATAAACCTTGATATTCATTTATTCATTTGAACTGCCTGGATTTTTGATTTCCCATGCCTGGGAGAAGTCCAGACCTACATATGTCCCCTGAGTCTAAAATTGGTCGCAAAATGGCAAATTTTGGTGGCGTGGTTCTTCTCCCATTTTCTCCTCAAACATCTGGAAAATTAAATTATTTTGTGCTTGATTGTTTTTTTTATGCCGACATTGAAAAAGGAAAAACTAAATGTTTCAACCGACCATTCTTTCTTCCTTTTCCCATGTCAAGGAAGTGAAAAAGAAATAAACAGCCACTGGAAGAAAAATGGTTATCCACCTTGACATTACAGAACAATAACTCTTATTCCTTCTAAACATCAAGAAAAACTGAATAAGCAGGTTGAAAGATTTTTGGGGTAGAAACCTTAATAGCCCTGGTTTTCTCACAATCTAAGAACATATTGGAAGATTGATGACTGCAGAGGTTTTAGAGCCAACTTTGATTACACGTTTCTATTAAAAAAAGTTACCCCTTACTTACCAGTCACTTTCATATCTAATGTGGCTTCCTGTTGGAAACTCCCATTCTTAACAGAGCAGTGGTAGGGTCCCTCATCAAATAGGCTAATGTTAAAAATCTTCAGCCCAATCTTTCCATCCCCAATGCCATCTTTTAAAAATTCTGTTCTTCCTTGGTATTCTGGCTGCTGCTGTTCCAGATGATCTTTGCCACTGTGATAAAGGTGTACATATGAAGAACTGTGGGAGCGGAACCAGGTAATCTCCATATTCTGAACATTTGTTCTGGGGGACAGATGACATTGTAGCACAATGGTCTCCCTCAGAGAGGCAGTGACTGGGTGATGTGGTCCAAGCAATGTCAGTTGCACTGTAAAATGTACCAAATGCATAAAAATTATAAATGGCCAAGTCAACTGAAAGAGTAGCACCATATAGGCAACTCATCTAATCATGCGAAATAGCAATAGATATTTGGCTGAACTATTAATCCATCACTTAACTACAGTGGGTTGAGTTTCTGTTGGATAATCATTCAGCTCATATTCAAACCCAGATAGAGAAAAAATGGGGCGGGGGTGGGATAGCTCAATGGTATAATACTTGCTTTGCACGTACACATACAAAAAAATGGAATCCTTCACATTTCCAGGTAGGCTAAGAAGACGCTTGTGAGAATGGGTGCTAACCACCACAGATAATGATCACTGTAGTATATTTTCATATCCACAGAGGACACAGACTGAGTTCCATCAAACCATTGACTGGAACTCTCTTTGAGCATCTAATGCCAGGTCCCAGTTTCCTTCAGAATTGAGCAGGGGCACAGCGCAATGCCCATTGCACAATTGAGTAATGTAATTGTAAGAACTGGAGAAGTGCATGCGAGAGATCTAACACTAGACATAGATCTGTACCTCTGGTGTGATAGAACCCAGTGCCAAGCTAGATGGACCAAGTGTCTGACTTCGTATGTCTGTTTCCTATATTCATTTCCTAACCTCTCTGTTAGCAGGGCATTCTTGTATTGATCAGCCTTCCTTTTTTTATTAGATTGCTATTAAGACAACCCCCAATACTCATGTAATGGGATTCGTTACCCATGTTGATTCATTATATTATTTCTACATTTGTATAATGTTATATTTATATATTTCTTAGGTATGGCACCCATCTTTGCCATCTTTCATTCAGGAACTCAGGGAAGCATATCTATAGCATCTTCAACCCATTTGAGCTCCCACAGCTAAAGGCAGACTGGAAGCTCCATGTCTCCAGTGCCACTCCAACCCTTTAACCACTACACCACACTGTCTCTTTGTTTTAAGGTGAGGTTATAGGAGGATGTTATGTTTAGCACTCTCTCTCTCGCTGTGTGTGTATGTGTGTATAATGCTTCTTAATATATAATACATAAAAGCAATTACATTTCTTAAAAAAATACAATAATACACAAAGTTCTTACTTGGATTGCCATTGTTAACAGGTAGAATAACTAAGAAAGTGGTGAAAATAAACAGGAAGGAATTCATTCTGGAAACACAACTAACTCCGGTCTTCAAAGCACGTAGGAACTGTTAGAAGGGAAGCAAAAAATATTTTTAGTATTGTACTGTATTTTGTTAGTACAATTCTCTTTTTCTTTAGCTTGCATGGTTCAAAATGCTAGTAAATGGTTTGTAATGGCTGATTTAGGCAAAGGTTGCTGAATAATGTGACTTTTCAATTAAATGTATTAGTGAAAACATTAAAATACTCAATTATGATTTGGGATCACTATGATACCTAGAATCAAACTAGCATAGAACATTTTCGTCTTCATCGTCAGGAAATAGTTTCAATGAAGGAGTGCGTGTGGAACTTCCTGTCAGGTAAAAAAATTAAGAAATGTAAAACTGGATAGAAATGTTAAGCCACTGTTACTTTTTTTCTGACAGACTATATTAAACTTTTGAAAATGGCCATAAATACCTCAATGCATTAGAACTGAAGTATGACCACCAATGAGATGAAATATTCTCACATGGAAGACAAACTGAATCCAACACACACACGTACATGTTAAAATATACACAAATGCACATTTAGTGAACAGTTGTAGTAATTACTCTTACTCATTGATGAAGAACACTCCTTAGATCAAATCCAACTTGCACTTCCTTAGAACAAAAGTAAACTGCACATTTCCCCCTCCATTGACAATCAGCAAAAGAAAGATGAGAGGAACGGGAGGTGATCTAGATACTCTTTGCACAGGCAGATGCCACCCAGCCCACGCTTGGCTTGAAGGAGTCTTGGGGATGGTGGAGCAAAGAGGGAGAGAACTTGTCTGTAAAGATCTCATTTCTCAACATCTCCTTGTTAAGCTACTTCTCTTGTGCTCCTCGTTGCCTTATCAGTAGACAGCAGAAGGCATCACAAAATGGGAAAGAGGCCAGGTTTTAAACCAACGTCATCTTCAGCTAATCGCCAACAGGCAGCCCACGCATAATGTTTACAGATGTCGCATCAGCATCAACAGTGAGATGGTTTTAGAGATCTGCAGTGTGGGAAGAAGGTGATTATAAGGTGTTTTTTTTTTTTTTTGCAAGAGGAATCAAGTTGCTTCTCAATTGAAAGGACTTAGTGTAAGCAAGTGTGTTAACAGAGTAGGACATGGTGGCTCAGTGGCTAAGACGCTGAGCTTGCCAGCAGTTTGGCGGTTCGAATCCCTAGCACCGTGTAATGGAGTGAGCTCACGTTACTTGTCCCAGCTTTTGCCAACCTAGCAGTTCAAAAGCATTTAAAAATGCAAGTAGAAAAATAGGGACCACTGTGGTGGAAAGATAACAGCGTTCCGCGTGCACCTTCGGCGTTTAGTCATGCCAGCCACATGACCACGGAGACGTCTTCTGACAGCGCTGGCTCTTCGGCTTTGTAACAGAGAGGAACACCGCTCCCTAGAGCCGGAAATGATTAGCACATATGTGAGAGGGGAACCTTTACCTTTACCTTAATATAAACCTATGTTCCCACTAAGCATGAAGTAATATAGGCAGGTTAACATATGCTCAGGTGGTTGCTTATATTATTTGCCTGGGAGCAACTTTTTTTTTTTTTACTAATGACCAGGCATCAAGCTAGAGACCTTTAGTACCCAAAGCAGGGAGTCTTTCATGAAACCATTCATCCTGTCCTTCCGAAAAGACTAAAGAAACCATATAATCGTTCTTCTCTAGTGAAGTCCCCTCGCTATTCCTGGAGCAAGGGTTACATGCATGTGCATTGTCCCTATTTATTCTCAAGTCATCTGTCGGGGAAAGTGAATGTTATTGGCTCAACATCTCCCGGTATTTCCTACTTAAGCCAAAATTGGAATTTTGGACCAAATCCAACATTGGCTGTCCCTGTTAATTTCCATAATTAATTTCCATAATCTATCTTCCCTTCCCGGCTACTCTCAGCTTCAATCTTTCCTTTGCTGGTTTTGTTTGCTTTACAAATGATTTCTCACTATGGGTATGGGAAAATGGCTATTATGAGTACTATTTCCAGTTTAGTTTGCTCCCAATATCACAAAAAAGCCATGTTCAATAAATATAATTTAATGTCTGTTTTTTTTTTAAACATCAGCAAAGATCAAAACATAAGGGATAAGGAACAGGCAAAAGCAGGGGAGAGAGAAATGAACAACAAGCAGGAATTTATATAATGAATATGCCTATTAAAAGGACAAAGAACTTTTTCCATGGTTACTGGAAACAATACAGTAGGCAATTATCATAGGCAGTTTTTCAGTGGCCTTTCACTGTTCCAGCTTTAAACCTATTATATGCATACCACAGCAGTATTTCTCACTCTTAGCAACTTTTAAGATGTGTGGACTTCAAATCCCAGAACTCTCCAGCCAGCAGGAGTGTTAAGGGCTCTGTTTCTTGGCTACGTCTTATTTATTTATCTGTATCCCACCTCTATTAGTCTTACAAATAAGGTGCTGAACATATCCAACCCACCTTCCTTCTCTTATTGTCCCCACAACAACCCTGTAAGGTGGTTGTATTGAGAGAGAGTAACTGGACCAAAGTCACCCAGGTTGTCATGCTGAGGCGGAACTAGAACTCATGATCCTCTACCTTCTAGGCTGTTGCCTAAACCAAACTGGTGCTATATCAATAGGTAAATACATAAATATGTCCTGCTTTTATATAATAAATAGATATGTTTATATAAGCTTTTATGTCCTGTTTTTAGTCTTGAAGATCTTGTCACAGAGTTCCTGAAACATCTGTTGAATTGACCACATGCCTGGAGCCATTAATAGCTAGGATTCAACTTTTCTTTTATCAGGTTGTTCCCTTTTTTATATCTCACAAAAAATTTTCAGAAAAGGCCCAGGGGAGTTTACAAGGAAGCTGTGGAAGGAACTGGAGATCTAGTAAGTTTTTAATGACTTTTCATCACTCCCTGGTATGGCAGTTGCAACATGCTACCAATCTCAGTCATTCCAACTCTATGTTTGTTGGTTGTTTTCAGAAGGTGGGGATGAATGTCCAATGGTGGGCAGTATCAGAGGATATTGACAACATGATAATACATGCAGGGGTGGGATTCTAAAGGTTCGCACCTATTCGCTAGAACCGGTTGTCAACATTCTAAGCAGTTCGGAGAGCCGGTTGTTAGAAGAAATTACTGGCCTAATCCTGTAAGGAAGGCAGGAAGGAAACATTCTGGTGTTGCTTACAGAAACTGCCTCTCCATTAACCCTTATTACATTCTTGGCAGGACTAGACTTCCTGTCTGTGGAACTTCTCTGGAGTTTTTTTCCTCCTTTGCTGGTACTTTGTTTGTGTGGAGTGACCATTCAAAGTTACAATGGCACTGAAAAAAGTGACTTATGACCATTTTTCACACTTATGACTGTTGCAGCATCCCCACAGTCATGAGAGGCCAGGCAAGGAGATGCGTGCCTCGATGTGAGTGATATTGAGTTGGCCACACCCAGCCAGTCACATGCCCACCAAGCCATGCCCACCAACTAAGCCACGCCCACAGAACCGGTTGTTAAAAAAATTTAATCCCACCCCTGAATACATGACAATACATCACTATTGTCATTGGTACATGACAACAGTGAAAGAAAAACCTTTGGCTCTTAATCAGGATGCTTGGTCTTCCGGTTTAGGGAGCACTATTGTGCTATGCAGGAAAAAAAAAATAGGAATTTGTCACACTCCCTCTAGTCAGCTATGTCTCTCTCTCTCTCTCTCTCTGTCACACACACACACACACACACACACACACAGAGCTACTCCTCTTTAGGATGCAAATTTAGATCAGGATCAGTCTGGGCTATGTCCTATCTAGGATCATGTATTTCTTACGTTTAACCACATTATTTTCTCAGCAGTCTCTCTCCCTACATTGGCAGAATTAACGACTCACTGCTGAGTACACAATAAAGCAACTCTTGTTGTAAAGGATCCAGATGAACACAGTATTGTAGTTTGCAAGGCTCTACGAGTGCCTCCAAAAAGAGAGAAGAAAGCAGGATAGAAGAAAAACAAACACATGAATTAGTCTATCAGTCATAACCATTTTCTCAGTCAGACTTCTCCTGAATCCTATAGTGGCTGATACTCCAGAATAGATCTATACCCAAAATTAACGTTTCCAACCTGGACAGATTTCATCTTTCAGATTCTCAGCAAAGACCATGCTGGTTGGGGAATTCTGGAAGTTGAAATCTATGTAACTAGAAGTTGCCAAGTTGTCTTAGATTGAAATAGATTGTGATATAGATATAGACAATGACAACGACAACATGCTGCCTGAATGGTTTTCCTGCACAATTCTGCTGATGGGGTATAAGCATGTTAACATGGCAACTCAGTATGGTATCCAATCCTTTCACATGGGAGTTGGAAGGGCAATTCACCTTTTTCAGCTTTCCCATCTCATGGGTAAGGCTTTGAGTTCTTTAAACCGAATGAGTACACACCCTCGGAACAAGTTGTATTGTTCACTGTTAATGATTATTCTTGCTTGCTTCATGGCCAGACAATGCAGCTGATAATTGGTGTTTTGACTCAGACAATTTTGTTTCTTGAACTAATTACTGAATAAATAATCAAGATACCTGAATGTTTTCTGAATGGGAACTAAATGGAAATCCTCTTTTAAAGTTTTGAACAGAAGAACCATTCTACTGGACTTGGTGTAATGCAAGTAATCTTTGACTTTCAACCATTTGTTTGGTGACCTTCAAATTTACAAAGTAACTGAAAAAAGTGATGTATGATCATTGTTCACACTTACAACCATAGCAGCAGCCTCACAGTCACATGATCAAAATTTGGATGCTTAGTAGTTGCCATTTATGACGGTTGCAGTGTCCCGGGGTCATGTGATCACTTTTGACAATCTTCTGATAAGCCAAGCCAATAGAGAAGCCAGATTCACTTAACAACCATCTTACTAACTTAACAACCATAGTGATTCACTTAACAACTGTAGCTAAAACGGTCATAAAATGGGGGCAAAACTCACTTAACAACTGCCTCACTTAGCAACAGAAATTTGGGCTCAATTGTGGTTGTAAGTTAAGGACAACCTGTAATCAATTTGAGCCACTTTGGGACAGTAATTAAAGTTGCTAGTCTAAAGCATCTTCAACTGAATGGCAGTCATCTGGGTGACTCTGGATCAGTCTCTCAACCCTAGGAAGAAGGTGCTGGAAAACCACTTCTGAAAACTTTGCCAAGAAAATGGGCTTGTAGGTATCAGGAGTTGAGATTGATAAAAACACACACACACACGCACAAATCGGTTGCGTTATATGCCTGTATATAGTCTTTCCCAAGCTGGTTGTTTCCAAATGAGTTGGGACTTCGGATCCCAAAATTCTAAGATTCAACCAGTTGTTTTGCAGATACAGCCCAACATAATGAGCAGCAACTGGAGAAGTCTAAGATAAAGAAAACTCATCTGAGAACAAGTGGGAAGTTAAAAGCAGCCAATGAATGTAGAAACCATAACTTAGAACACTTAAATCACCACTTTTTTACCTTCCTCCCATAACCCTCAGTCACTGTGGACAATTGGTTTGGTTGAAGAAAATTGGGAGATATTACCCAACAAACATTGAGAATACTAGGTTGGAGGAGGATGATAGATAGATAGATAGATAGAGAGAGAGATCGATAGAGATAGATCGATAGATCGATAGATAGATATAGATCGATAGATCGATCGATAGATAGATAGATAGATAGATAGATAGATAGATAGATAGATAGATA